CCATCAAGTCAAACTGTTTTTCTTCAAACTCTTAAGCAGTGTCCACTATGAAGAGGTTCAATACCAGCAAAAACCGTTCCGCGGGACCGTGAAAAAGTGTCCACTATACGGAGGTGTCCACTATATCGAGGTGTCCACCATGTAGAGGTTCGATTCCAGCAAAAATCGCTCCGTCGGACCGCGAAGTGTCCACTATACAGAGGTGTCCACTATAGAGAGGTGTCCACTATGGGAGGTTTTACTGTATTTCTTTCTTTTTGTCCTGTTTCTCTTTCCTCATGCTTCGTTTTTCTCTTTCTCTCAGTTCCATATGTTCTGTTTTGTTGCTCCGCGCGCGTGAGTGCATGTGAGTGGTATGTGTATGAGATATATTTCGCTCTCTGCTCTTCTGGTATGATGCTTCATTTGTTGTTTTGTTCTGATATTGATGATGTAATGGTGAGAGAGTAATCACACAAGGTTACTAGACACTTTCTCTGATTTGCTTGTTGCTTATTTAGTCATAGTGACTATCTTGCTTCTTGGTATTCTTTCTACTTTTCTTTCTTGTCATATCACTACTCTGTCATGCTTCGTATTTACTCTTTGACTTTAGATCACTAGATTGTTACGATTTTGAGCAGTAGAAATGTTTCCTAGTAAAGAACAAGTATCGTGTTTTTATTGTGATTGGAATGGTCGTAAAGATAAAGCGAAGGACCATTGTACAAGAAATCATCCTGGTAAAACATTCAAGCTGAAGCTTGCAGAAAACAATATGGAAAAATTTTTTCAAAAAAAAACTCAAGGAAGAGAAACAGTTATAGATGCCATCAGTAATGACGAGCAGGAACAAGAACAACAATCTTCTATCATCATATCACCCTCACCTCCATCACTCATTCATTCGGATCCCTCACCTATGCCTTCTGGTGTTGTTTTGACGAGTCCGACGATCTATTCCGTTCACGATCAATTACTATCGATGTCGAAGCAGCTGACAAAATTATCAGAGACGATAGAACAAATGAATTCGGACAAAGCAAAAAGGCATGTATCGTCAATTCCACAATCGGATGATATTGAACAACTATTTGAAAATATCAAATGTACGAATGAGTTATATTCATTGAAGCATATGGAAATAAATAATCAACTGGATACTATTACGTGTATACCATGTTTAAAGTTTAAAAAACATGCACCAAAACATTTATTAAGTACTATTAAATCTTCGTTTGGCTCATTTGAATACGTTGAACAAGACGCGACTCGAGTTCAATCTGAACGTTTTCGAAATTTAAAAAAAGCTTTAAGACATCATTATTTAAACAAACTACACATCTGGTGTGTAGAAGAAGATGAGAAACGAAAGCAATTATTCGACGATTTTTTAAGAAAAAATGAGAAAGCTGGATGGAATGTTGGTCGAGCAGCGTTATTCTGCATTCAAGGTGGTCTTGGTGGTCTGAAATTTGTTGATACATTGAACTTATTGGATATCTCTGGAGCATCAGTTGGAACTTATAGGTAGATAAAACTATTTTACCAGAGATAAATCTGTCAGTGTCATGCTAGACCTTATTATTTGCATATATGTTTAGACACAGTCGATGGTTTTTCGAGAAACTAAGAACGTCGATGACAATAACGATGAAAAACAGAATTAGTGAATATTTACATTCGGTTGATCCTGTTACACAACGTCGTCGACCGTTCGGCATAACATTGGATAAAGTTACATTATTAAAAAGGTCGATGCAGGTGACAATTATGATCGTGATGATTGACGGACAGTTAACACCTCTTTATCTTCAGTCTCCATTATGTCAAACAGAGTTAACGGGGGAAGACTTAGCTAGTAATTGTGTTCGAGTACTAGAATCATTTGGCTTGAAAAAAAATGCATTGCAAGAACAATTCACTGGTTGTGCCGTCGATGGTGCTTATATTAATTTGCAAATTGAAAAACATCTATGTCAAAAACTAGGAATGCGAGAGAGATGGTTAACAGTGTCATGGGATAGTGCACATTTACTTGAATTAGCAATAAATGATGCAAAGAAACAAAGTAAATTTTCCTGGTTACAAAGGTTCATTAAAACATGTGGTACAATCATGAAAAAATATTCATATGGAAAATCATATGAGCACCTACTGGAAGCAGCTGAATTAGTCGAAGAACAAATACTACAACCAAAACAATTTCATATTACCCGTTTTGTTCAATCCGAACTCCGCGTATACGAAACAGTATTAAGAGATTGGTCAACTCTGTATTATTTGCAAGAACAAGATAGTGTAATTAACTCATTAGCAGGTGGAAATGTAAGTGCAAGAACAAGACGAAATATTGATGCAGAATACAAAGCAGGTGATAGCGATAATGTTAGTTACAAAGTAAGTTGTAATCAGAATTTTTACTCCGTGAGAATCACTTCATTCTCTGGTTTAGCATGAAGATATCAAATCTGTGGATTTTGTTTGTAAACTTATTGGTTTAAATGATATCTACAATATTCTTGTACGAGCATCTATGTCTGTGCAGCAAGTCAATAAATACCCGTGGGAACATGATGATTCAATTCGATATTTACAAAAATGTTTAAATGGATATAGTAAATTACTTGAACAATTAGACTTAAATAAAACACAAGAAATGGATAGTTTGGAAGGTAAATTCTTGTTTTAGATTCTAAAATATTGCCACCTTTCGAATACACACTTTTATCTTATTACGTTAGAATGTGAAGAACCGGAACCAGTTGGCTTACTCGGACCAACAATCGATGACGATTGTGATATACAAGAAGAAGACGACGAAGATACAGAAGTTCGAGCGATGCCATCAGCAAAATGTATTGAACAATATTATCAAGATCTATTGAAATGTGAATTCAAACAACGTCCAATCATCATACGACCTGGTGATTATGATTTAGAAGATCCAACTACACATGCAAGAAAAAAATTGATCGAATTATGTCAACAATTAGTTGAAACAATTACAACACGGTTTCGAGAGATACCATATATTTTTATATTGATGAAAAATTGTTTAGATGTTTCACGTTTATACGACCTAGTGGTATCAACAGGTAAACAAACAATGATTGATTATGGCAGAGTTGAATTACAAGGACTTATTGAATATACGCTGTTGAACTCAGGATATATACAGATAGATGGAAATGCTATACAGGATCAATACTCCGAATGGAAACGACGAGTTTTACATGAAATCAAAGAGAAGGATACCCTGGACATTTGGACAACAAATGGAGAGTTGATCACATCAAAAGTGATGAAAAGCTTTTATACAAGTACAGATTTATCCGACGGTATCAATGATTTTCTCTACTTTCATTCATTAATGGTACTCAAAATTAGAAGCGAAGCGATATGTGAATCAGCAGCGTCAATTTTAAAAGGACATATTCATGGCAACCGTTCATTACATCATGATTCGTTAGATAATGAAGTAATGCTTCACTGGAATGCTCCCCCATTGCATCTCGCTGATTCATTTATCAAACATTCACTGGATCATTACTTCAGCAGCAAGAAGGAGAAAAATTGGTTATTTTATAAAAAGAGTGAACAATATCAAACGTGGAAACTTTTATCACCTGGCTCTGTTGTACTAAACCATTTGAGAAAAAAACAAGTACCAAAATTACCAGAATCAATCGATAATTAATAGAACGGATTGTTTTTTTAAATCACGCTGTTTGTTTTAAGTAGTTCTTTTGCGATGCCTTTGCTTATAGATATATAATCCACAGAAGGCAATGTTTTTTGATTTTTCTAACTGGGGAAATTTTTCGAAAAAATTTTAACGGTGGCGGAAATTTTTGCTTTTTACGGCAGATTCTGCACCTCTGATTTTAGCCTATAGCTAGGTATGCAGCGACAAATCGACAGATGTTATTTTGAGCTGAAATTTTGTCCATAGATAGGTGTGCTCGTGGCTAGAATACCCTACAAATTTCAGCTCAAAAGAATGTTTTCTTCTCGAGGTACTAAATTCGCAAAATTTATTCATATACCATGAAGGATGTGCGAATCTTATGTTTTTTGCTAATTCAATACTTCGAAAAGAAAACATTCTTTTGAGCTGAAATTTTCAGTGCATTCTTGCCATGAGCATATCTATCTGGGGACAGAATTTCAGCTCAAAACCACATCGTTCGATTTGTTGGTACATGCCTAGCAATAGGTTAAAATTCTGCTGAAATGGTCATAACTTCAGAAGAAAGGCCCAAGGGAACGTATCCTTTTGAAGTTTTTCATACTTTACTTGGATCTACTTAATGCATAGAGTCCGAGCTCGAAAACGATTTATCACTTGGGAAGCTTCCCTCGTTAGTGTACATTTTTGATCTTATTACAGCATAAAACACTCCAAGACGTTCAAATAGACTGTAGTATATGATAAATATTTAACACTCTATAACTATATAAGAGCTAATCAATGTAACTAGATTCTCAATGTAAAAAGTACATTTTACTTATATGGTCGTATTAATGATATTCACCTATTTTACGTACTTTGTCGTACCTGCTACTTAACAGAGACTCACTATAAAGCAGCATCCAGGATACATTTGAATGCTAGCTATGGTATAGACTCAAATCTCGAAAATTGATTTCGTCGTCTGAATGTCCATTGTGTCACGCATTCACACTCACATCCGCGGCCACCCTCAAGATGGTTAGTTAGGTTTTTACTTTTTTAAAGTTTATCAATCTCGAATCATCGAAATTCTTTTGTTGCCGTCATGAAAATCAGAAAATAATTAAAAAGATTTAGAATTGGTAGGAATTAATTTGGAGCGAAACAAATGCCCAAACACAAACTTAAACTGTTCAAGTTTGGTGCATGCCTAATTCAGCAAGATTTTTTCCAAATATTTTGTCGTTTCCGCTGGACGCCCATCGAAAAATCAAATATGTAAGCTCCATAACTCGATGAAAAATTCGACAAGTCAAGTAAACTTCAGGCTAGGTGTAAATCGACAAGCTATACAACAGATAAAAATCTCAGGAGGAGAGGAGTGGACATATCTAGTCACCCTAAAGTAAAGATTTCTCTTTCTTTTCGTTTTTTTTTTGCATCATATTCATAAATCAATCCAAAAAAGGAAGTGATATAATGCAAAAATACTTGTGACCCACTTGTTCTTATTCAAATCACATAAGAAATTGAATGATTTATGTTTTACTGCTTAAATTTGAAGTACTATAAAATACGCATTGGCATAGATATATTCTACTCATTCATAATTTTCTCGAACTGAATTTGAAAAAAAACAAGCAGAATGTTACAATCTATTTTTTCTTTTCTTCCATTGATCGTCTCATCACTGCTGATGGTCCACAGCTTAACAATTGCTCAAGACACTCGGTCCTTCAATGGCACCAATCTTCTTCTGAATATTGCTGAAGAACACCAAGAACCATTATCTTTCGGTACGCCTTATCTACGAAGTTTGGCAGACGGTACAGTGAATACAAATATTTTCACATTATTTAATTATAACGGCGGTCAAGTCTATGTATACAGCTCATTTGCTAATGAAAATGAAAACAACGGCAATCCACAACGATGGATATTTTACTATGTTTCAATTATGGCACCGATGCAAACTTCAAAAACTAATGTTTCGGTATGGTCAATGAAAAATGAAGTTCGTGTCAAATTGATGTTAGGCGATAGGGAACTAGAACATATAGCATGTAAAGCAATTTCAAAAAAATTTGATATAAAAATAGCTGAATATTCAAAATATTGGGATATTGCACCTTTAATGATTGATTCTTTGACTGCGTACATGGTAACAGGTAGTAATTCACCTGTAGCAGGCGTACAACCGTATCATTCTGTTCATCCAAATTCATTGGTTATGATTTTTCGATTACCATGTTCGACGGAAGATAATGTACGGCAAGTTGCTCAGATGATCAACAGTGGTGAATATGAAATTGAAATCGCATTCTATTTTGATGGATTCAAACATACGCCAACATCACTATTATCGATCACTGCTGAACAATTAAATAGTGTATCTAGTAAAACAACAGTCGATGGTGGTAATACGGATGCAAAGTATATTCATCGTAATCAGGCTACCAAGTTCGTCGCGCAGTATATAACAAACGTAAAGAAAATAATTTATTCCGAAAATTCAGATATCGATACACAATCGTTAGCAAATGGGCTTGAAGATCAGTTTATGTCATTGCTACAACAAGGTGAGTAGCTGATTCGACCAAACGAGCTGATGTAGCTTCATTTGTTAGTTGTTAACCGTTGGGACGCACTGTTTGCATTCACAAAGCATTTTCACTTCTTCGCAACTCATATGTTGTCCTATTTTTCTCTAGGAATGGAAAATGCTCGACGAACTACAATCGATGCCAGTCTTCTCAATGAGACATGATCGTCTGCAGATTTTCAGCCGGATCGAATTACATCGGAACACAGTCAAGTGTTTACGAAAAATGTTTCCGATACCGAACAACATACGGCATCAGATAAATATCTTAGCATTGACAAAGAATATTTGAAGGAGATACTAAAAAGCAATTCAAAAGAAGGTGGTGCCATTGTGTCTTTTCTCGGTATATCAGTTGATGGTAACGGTGGTTCATCCTCTTCCTCAAAGGTCTCATTTTACGATAAACTTTCACAAACAACTCATGACAAATAGTCTAAAGATGGTGTCGTGAAATTGCTCAATGAACAGCAAGTTGATTTCAGTTGGAAAGGTGAAAAACTGGTACCAAAATCATTTCAAGTTTATAAAATGACCGATCTAACAGATAGTTTACAAGTGGCTCTGGTCGCTAAACAAATTACAATTGATAAGGATCAAAGTGCAATTATACGACACGTTAGTACGATGAACAGTCCAACGGCTACTGAAAATTCGCAATTTGTCAATGTTTTCCTCACACGTGAAATAAAGTTATATAGTGGTCGCACACATCCACTGTCTCCATGGCTTTTCTACAATGGATCAGCTGCTTCACGAATATTTTATCAACGTCTTTTTGCGATTATAGGCGTAACCTGTGGATCAGGCAATGGCAGTACAACCTTTAATATACCCGACTTTCAAGGTAGAGTACCAGTCGATTCACTAGGGTTGCGCACGATGAAGGCTTACGATTTGGGATTAACAGGAGGCAATGAAACCCATGCAATTACAGCGAATCAACTGCCTTCCCATTCACATAGTCCCGGCTCAGTGTCGATGTCATCAAGTGGCAGTCATTCTCATTCGATCAATGATCCAGGACATAATCATGGAGGTTACACGGGAGAGTCAGGTTTTCTGAATGGCAATGACAAGTGACATGCAGGCCCGAATAGTTGGAGAATAACGCAAGGTACTCATTTACATTCGATTCCAACTGGACGTGGGTGTGCCTGCATACGTGTGAACCACAGTCACATGTTTATTTTTTGTTCTTGCTATTTCATCTGATGTGACCCAGTAGTCTGTGATATCGTTTTCGGTGTATTCGTTCCATAAGTAAGTTGCAATTCCATTCATGTTGCATTTGATAATTGTATGTGGGATGTATTTGGTTTCGAAGATGTATTTTCAAGATTAATAGAGAAAATCCAATGAAATTGTAAACAGTTGCGCAATTATCAACTTGGTTTGACAGAACAATAAATTGTCATATAAAAGACACGAAGAAAGGCTCAATAGATGTTAAGAAACATTTCATATTTTTGCACACTATAATAAGTAGTAAAACGGACTAACATATTCGCTGGTAATGATTGATGTAAAAAAAATATAGAATATCTGTGTCTGATTCTCTTCTGTTACAAACTGCGACAGACAGATCATTGTTCACAGTAAATTTGTCAATATTGTCATAAGATTTACCCAAATTGATGTATATCGTTGACATTTAATGAAATGGCATTCTCCAACCATCCATTTTCCACACAGAAGACTAAACTATTGCATAAACTCGATACATATCATTCAATTAGCTTCAGTCACTTCTATGCTGTTCTTACGGTACCATTTCGATGAGCATTTTCTTACGCAATTAAGCATTGCCGTATTGATTGAAGTTCGATTATTTATAACAGATAGGTGTGTATGTGCGGGTGTGAATGTGAAAGAGCTTTTTTCTCACCCAAACCCACATCTTACAACGTGCAGTACTAAAAACACCAAATTTACTTTATTGTCCTTTGAACAAGTTACTCTTTTGTTTCGTAACGTAAAATAACGAGGAAATAAGACATCAGGTTTCTATCTATTTGCTTTCATATCATACTAAGGCTTCCAACAGATGAAATTTCTACTGAATAGTGCTATCACATTGATCAAATAAGAAAATCTTATAACCAACAGCAATCAATATCAAATAATTTTGGTTTCCCAAGCAAAACATATACGAACTAAGATGAACAACAATGAACTAAGACTGCGGTTGAGCTGATGCACTTACAATGGATATACCGAAATTGAATCAATTTAATGAATTAGTAACAACAGTTTTAGTTCACTACAATTAATGCCATTAAAATAGTAACAGATTTTCAGGCACCAATGACATGTCTTTTTAAAAATGATCTAATTTTTGATAATAATAACTTGCATCATTGTATCATATTTCAAGGGGATTAGGATTCAACAAATTTGAGTTATTCACGAAGTATGAACAATTTTTTCTGCAAAACTAAATAATAATTTCGCTGAGCAAAAACAAAACGTCTCCTTTCTTTAATATTTATATCTTTGATGATTGTTTCAGAAAGATTCACTGGTTCAATACATTATTTTAATATTGATAGTTATGTTATGGAGACAAAGATTTCATTTAGATTCTCGAACAGTATTTGAAAAAAAAGAAATTCAAAATTTTAGAATAAACCGAACCAGATTGACTACTGAAAATAGCAATCAACATGTTCACCACAATTTAAATAGAAAATTTTTTATCAGATGGTCAACAGAATGTTTTTCTTTACCAAGTCTTTTGAATTGTCGCATTTCTTGAATCAATTCGCACGCATAAACTTTTATTAAGAAGTGAACTTGACTTGCACATAAAATACTTTTAAGCTCATTTTTCTTCATGCCAAAAACAAACACGAGGAAAAAAATCTGACAAAATGGATCATGAAAATTAGTCTAGCGATCAAATAAAAATGTTTACGTCATTACTATAATCATCAATACCACGGTATAATTGATGAGTCGCTTTCTTTGGTTATTACACGAGAAGAAAATTGAAGAATAACTCATGTTGATCGAACTGGTAAGAAAAAAAATCCTACTGATCACAACTCTATGTTCATCAAATATCTGACAGATTGGACAAATCAAATGAATATTCTACATAAAAGTCATAGATTTTCAAATCATGAGACATTTAGTTATTCATATCAACTGGAAAAAAGAATTATAGAACAATGCTGATATCAAAATGACCAATACGTATCGTATGTTGAAAATTCTGATGCAATACCAATTAAGCTTATGATTCAACACTACTTGAAGTAAATTGTGCTTCACTGGTTTTGTTTGCATAGTAATGGTTCTATTGCAAAATTCAAGCATAATTTCTATCTTTTCGTACTCATTTTTAATATATATTGATATGATATTTAAATCAATTTGTTTCGTTATTCTCATAAGTAAAAGTGAATTGATACACTTTCGAATCAACAGGACTAACAATAATGTATCCTGTCGTATTTTTGGATCCGCATGAATATCATCGACCATCAACTATCGATCAGAACACTTTATTGGTGCCATGTTCTCAAACTTTACACAATGCTGTTTCATCAAACACAATCATATTCAACAAACTGGACATTTATGTTGTTCTGGTCCGTCTACAAAGATTAAAGAAGTGTAACAAATTTCAAAAACGCCAATAATAAAAACAGGTGAGGAACATTGTGGACGTGATACTATTCCAGTTAATCATCGTAATGTACACATTGGCATTCTCTTAAATTCTAACTGTCATGACAAATTTAAAGCCCAATTAATTTGAACGATAGAGAACAAAAACGTAAGTATCGTTTATAAAATATTTCGGAATAAATAGAAGTAAAAAATACGTATTTGAGGGCGTAAGTAAATGTAGAAGTTTTCTTCTCTGGCAACGACATTTTTCAATACTTTCTCTTCAGTCGAGTTGATTTGTAGAAGACAGTGAGATACAAATAATAAAAGAATTATCTTATGTACATTGCTGTTATTTTTACTGGCAAAAACATCAGTCAAACCATTCTCAGTGGTGACCGGCTATCTAGTCTGACTTGAGTATGGGCATAACATAACTTTTTGATTAAGCAATACTTTTCATGTTCATTATATGCTGTATTCCTGTGAAATTGGATAGGTTTTGAGTTAAGATCAAACAAGGTGATTTTTTCCTAAATATTTTGCAAAATGAAATACATGTTCTTAATCAGTATAAAATTCTGAATAAAAATTAGGTATCTTTTTTCTTTGAAAAATTACTTGTATTTTTATCCGTCATTTGGTACTGGTAGCAGATTAAGGAAAGATTGAAAAACCTTTTTGTTCAAATTTATCAAATTGAGTGTTACCTCATGCAGAATATGACATCATTTCTAAATTTCTGATCAAAGTTCGAAGAAAATGGATTTTTAAATGATAAAAACGTATTTTATTCTAGGATGCTATTTGACGAATTACATATTATAGTCGTCGTCAAGCGACGTAAAAATGCTATTACAAAGTTTAACTTTCCCTATTTATAATCTGAAGATCTGACGATTACATGTAATAATATTACTCGCATTTATTCAAGATAAAATACAAATGAATTGGCATTTATCAATGCTAAGTTCTTGAATATTGTTCAAAAATTTAAAAAATTATTTGCAGCAATGTATGACTTCTTGACTAAATTATATTCTAAACACAGAAAATTCATTAAAGCCAGCAATACTTTTTCAAAACAGAGTGACATAATGAAAATAACTTAATCTATAACCATATAGAAGTAACAAAGATTTATAACAACTTAGGTTAATTATGATATGTTGTTAATGAATTTTCAAAAGATGTTCGACATAGAAAAAGAATTATTTCTGTCAAATAATTCTAGTTTTACCACAACATACAACGAGATGGTGACTGCCTATTCTGAGAAATAATATTATGATAAAACAACAAAATATTCTCTCAAGAACTTGAAATTCGTTTAATACTATTGGGTTCGAATTATTTGGATATTATAATGACCTATCGATACGTTAGTATTTCATGTATTACAAAGTACATACATTGATACAATAAAGATGAACTACCTATTTAATTTTTGTTTCTCTTATCATGCTTATACTTCTAACAGCTAACATTTATTCAATTAAACGTTTTCGTATTTAAGAGTTCTTACAGTTGTTTGCTAATCTCGATGACCATGCATGGATCAGAAAAGGCATAAGAAAATGCCAAAATGAAAAGAAACACAATTTCGAAAGTCATCAGCAGTTACATGATGTTCACATTTCACCAATACAAACTACGAAAGTGAAGCTTTGAGAAAGTTATTTCAGTTATGCAAGCAATACCATACTCTCGAAAACGTTGATCCTTACTTTTTTAAACTCCGAATCAGAGATCTTAATCGAAATTCTCTAAATCTCAATGTCTAGTTCATTTTCGTTTACTTCTGTAAAATTATGAAGCAAACACTAAGTAAGACTTCAATAAGTTTTTTTAGAAAAAAAGAGAATTTCATAATAAGTCTCATTAGCCAGTATTTGATCATTATCTTTAAAGTTACTCGCTAGAATCTACTTAAGAAATATCTCATTTGATAAAAAGAATTTCATTCTACAAAACTGCATTTATGGCAGTTTCTCCAACCTTAATTGTCTAGAGACCTGAGGCTTAAAATTAGATCATTTATAGAAATTCCTTTTTTTCCCTTTCTCTTTTTCACTACAAGCTGTATTTCTCTTCTAATTTGAACAGGTCAAAACATATCTTTATAAATTCGAATACAGCAAGCTTCTTCTTGCGAAACATAAAATATCCCATCATCCTGTCGATAATCAATTTTTCATATATACTCTGTGATCATTATTTTATAACACTTTTTCTTGATATTGAGTGTGCCGAGTTTGATTCATCTGTTGTTGCATACCTGCATCTTCACCCAGCAAATTGCAGCAGAAGCTGTTGTGCTTGAGTTGAATCTAAGCGAGATTATGATCGATTGAAATGAATTTTCTGGACATTGTATTTTTTGCTTGCAAAATGATTCTCGAAGTCTGAATTCGATATTGAATATATTGTAGTCTGATAATCTACATCCTCTTAAACCAAATCAT